TACATTCAATTAACCTATAAGCTTCATCCATGGCCCAACCATACATCATCATTCATTCACAATTATTCATACATCATCATGTATCAATATATGTTAATATATTAAATCATACATCAACATACATCAATAAAAATATATATGAATATAATTTTGGATCCATGAATGATGAGTTTCATAAAATCATGATCTCTAGTAATGAATCAAACCATGCTCTGATACCACTGTTGAGAAACGTGCTAGTTTTAAAAACTTTTTGAGGGATTTTGATTCATAGATCTTGATTCATCACATAGAGACAAGTTTTATGCAAAAATAAAATATGATGTCTCATTCAATAAAACTAGATTGAATACTTATATCAAAGGTCTGAGTAAACCTTTAAATCTTTCCTCTAAAGTGAATGTTCCACTTATTGTAGATCCCTTAGCAAGATGCCTTCTTCTTGAATCTCCATCTTCTTAGTAATTGTTTTGCCTTTAGGAATCACTCATAAGTCTCCATAAATGACCTTGGAAAACTATGCTTGTGGGAGCTTACATTAGATGAGAACATAAACCCTAATATTCTAGAGAGAGAAAATATATTCCTTTTTCCTTCTACTAAAAATCACCCCTAAAATATACATAGACCATGTATATTTATAGGCAATATAAAGGTAAAGAAAAGGAAACAATTAATCATTCTCAATTTCTAATTCACATGTCTCAAACCTAATATAATTCCAATATCAAGTTGGGCTATGAGTGAGAATCCTTTGGGCTTATTATTTTATTGGCTACAATGAATTAATAATTGGTCCGGTCCATGCACCCAATTCAATCAATTCATAAATTAATTTCTACTCCACTAAAAGAAATTAATTGAACTCCAATTAAATAATAAATAACCTCTAAGTCAATATCGTACTTTGACCCCTCTATGCATAATTAATTATCGGATAAATAAAGCCATCAATCCGACTACTTAATTCATATATTTATTTTGATACCTTTGATTATTTCTGGCTCGATCACAATAAAACATTTGTTTGACAAAAATAATAATTTAAATAAATAAATATATAATAAATCATTTTGTCTAAAAACACACGAAGGCCTTCGAATTTACTTTGTGATCAACCATAATCAATACAAAATAAATACAAGTAGCAATGATTCAAATATTGAAAATATAACCCTCTAACTATTAATTACATAACTACCCCAAGTGTCGGTCTAAGGATCCCGAAGAATCCGCCGAACAAATCAAAGTAATTATTAATTAATAAAAGAGTCTATACTTTTCTCATACTTAAGAGTCAAATGCCATGACGGTGATATGGAGTAATTGCATACGACGGCTCTCGCAATATATCTCAACCTAACACGGATCTAGTTCAAGTCTTAATTAATTATGAGTCCATCCATAATTACCGACTATGAACCATTTATGATTACTATTTATATTCATGTATTGATCGCCATCACATACATATATAAATATCTCTTGTAATCAAGTGGACACTATTAATTCTATAATGAATCGAAATATAATACATTGAATTCACCAATTGTATAAAACATAAATATTTCAGAAACGTCAGGAACTTATGTCACTTTAATCCAAATAGAAATTTGCTATGCCAGGGAATATAAATCCCAACAGAATCAACAAAGAGAAAGAAAACGGCGATCTTTGCTTCATAGAGGAAATGTAAATCTCTTGATATAGGTAGAGTTTTATTCATATGTTATCCTTATTCAATGTGAGATATAAAAATGTAATTGTCATATTTCGGAGAACAAAATGAAGTCCAAATCGAGTACTTGTAATTTTTCCATTTATTTGAATCTTGGTTTTGGAAGCGAAAATTCAAGTGAAGCTACTCACGACAACTTCTATTCGACAATGAACAATATATAGTCAAGGTAAGTGTGTGAGGTTCACTTAAAATAGGTTTGAAGTTGGAAGAGAGCACTGAGGATTTCTCACAAGTTGAACCGGTTGCATTTCATTTTAGAACCGGTTACACTTTTTCTAAGAATAGCTCTCAGGATTTTTCCAACCAATTGCATCTGAAAAATGAATCGGTTTCATTTTATGTGTGAAAACCATACTATGGAAAAATCCAACCGGTTTCATTGTGAGGTTAAACCGGTGGCATTTCCCTGAACTAAAAAGGAAAGTTTTGGTTTAAACCAACTTTTGTTACCTTTTTAATCTGAAGTAGAGAGATATTTTATAATGAAATTTGTGGTGTTTTCTGACCTTATTAGGACTATCTAATTCTCTCTATAAACTCATATTCACACACACTTAATTACAGCTTTTGCATTGATAAATTTTCATAACCCTAGAAAGCTTTTTTGCATGAGTTTTTGAGAGTTTATTATTTATTTATTTTTGAAAGCACTCACCTATACATAGAGTGATTTAGGTTTTTAGTTCATTGTTCAAGCGGGATTAGCATGATTGAAGGTTTCATATCTACCGATCATAAAATAGATTTTTGTTTCAACTTAAGAAAATCGTTTTTTGAATCTTAAGTTAAATACACGCCTATGAATCTTAAGGTTAATTTGGGACAAAGTTTAATCATGTTGCTAAGCTGGTAAATTATCCATTAATTACGAACATACCAAGAGAAAAATGATCCACAGATGTCGATCACAAAATAATGAAAAATAATAATAATATTACATTGTACATTTTGTTTTAACATTAAAAAAAATTATTTACAGCTATCCAATTATCTTAAAATATCATTTTTTTAAAATCAAACAAATCAACTATACCAAAATAGAATTTTCAATATCATATCTCATTTTAAAGGATTTTTTGTAAAATATATTTTATGCAATATATTAATGTTGAAGCTTTTATGTAAATATGATGTGACAAGTCTGAACAAAAGAAGGTATCTTAAAAGAATTTCGAGTATACTATGTGTAATGTTTAATTTAATAATAAAAACTCACATGGGCATTATCCATATGTAACCATAATCGATAGAACTTACAATTTTCTAGCTAGTGTCTCCTTTATTTGGTAAGATAAAAAATAATAATAAGAATAAATAAATAAATAAAGCATCTGAAACTCTTAAACCCTAATATTATGCTATAGAGAGCCCTTCTCCTTCATCACAGTTGTTTTTCACATATGGCTTTCAGGGAAAATCGTTCTCATTTTTTGAGAAAAAAGAGTAAGAATTTCAAATACGTTTTCCGTCAATATAGGTTCTTATGATTTAGTTGTATATGTACATGAAGCGATATATGTATTGACATCATATGCTGATCAAAATGATCCAATTATGCTACCTTTTTCTGTCTAGATCTGTTAACATCATCTATTTTATGGCAAGAGGTTTCCCTCTATGTATAGTTAAGAATCTTTGTATAATGAAGAGATTCTTATATTGCCCAAAAGCTTTTAATCACATAGACACCAAACAATATTGATATTTTTAAATACATACATACATACATACATATATATATATATATATATAAATAGTGTTGTATGGTAGTACATTTTATTAATTTGGTGCAATGATACTATTACTAATTCACCATATTCTTTATCATAATTCCTGAAGGTCTTTTATTATTGTCATTATTTTTTTCCTTTTTAATATTAGAAAGTCTTTTAAAAGCTTTCATTTACAGCATTTGTTTTTTTCATCCAGAATTTTTAATTATAATTTATTTTCTGTTGATGAATTTTTCTTTTATTCTATCAACTTGGATAAATTATTAAAAACATCCCCTAAGTCTGCACTTCATTTGCTCTTATGATTTCGACCATTCATTAATTCATGAAAACAACATTCTAGATAAACAAAATCAGAACAAACAACATTCATTTATGCGTTGGATGTCTTTTAACTTACAAAAATCAGGCCAAAAAATGACAACACAATATAAAGTTGTGGTTATTTGGGAAATGGAATAACTAAAACAGAATCTAAATGCACATTATGAGTGAGTGTCAAAGATCCTTCCCCAATAACTGGGGTCGAAGTCCCATTGGCAATAGAAACAAATTTGTGTGGGGGTAAATTAAAAGCTGAGACCTATCTAGAATCAAATGTCATATGATCTGTGACACCAAAATCAATTATACATGTACTATTAGCAACATGTGTAGAAATATTGAAATTCTTACCACCATTATTTGTTGTCTTAACAATTGCTGTAGTGGTGATGAAACAGCGACTGGTTGCAATGAGTGCATTTGTAAGTAGACTTGGCTGATGATTCAAAAAAATTTCCATTCATTTTTTTTTTTTTTGGAACTAGTTTATCACAATGGATGTTATTTTTCATAAAGACTCGATATATTTTTCCTCTGCATCTGAACTTCAGGGAAATTCAGACTCTAGATTATGGTTATCACACTTTGAGGACGGCGATTCTAGTGTTGATGACTCACAAGTTGGACCAACCAATCAGGAATCGGGAGATTGGTGAATTTCTGGGTTTGTAATTTCTAGGTTGGTAGATTGCTGAAAGGGATGATGGTGACAATATGTGTATGGGTATGGATGACTGTATATGTGTATAGGTATGTATGGGTCTTTGAATTTCAAAGATAAATTCAATGAGATTCAAAGTTACGGTTCAATGATGGCTCTGATACCATCTTGAAATTCAGAGAAAGAATACGAGAATTAAAATCATATTTTCATTCATTGATGGTGTTACATCCAATTTATAGAATTGGATTGAACAAAAATAGATAACTAATTACCTACCAATTAGCCCTAAATCAAAGAGTAAATAATTCAATCCTACAACTGTACTATAAGAGAGAAAATCTCAACAACAGGCCTAAAATAAAACAAAACAAAACACTTGTCAAACAGCCTCTAAACAGAATTATATAAATTCACCATTTAAAACATTATACAAATATTAATCAATTATTAACTTTAAACTAAAATATTATGATGGTGATTGGGCTTTCAGGCACAAAAGCACAAGAACCAAGCTGTGAATTCGTCCGGCACTTAATCATATTCAATTACATGTACCCATAACTCCCACTTCTGTCACATTGTTACGAAAAAGACAAATTCCAAGTAATATGCATAATCTCACAAGGGAGACATAAGTACCATAATTAGTTCTCAACACATAGTTTTTAGTAAATTTAGAAACCACCTCTAGTACATGGCCAAACAAGTATCCAATGTTCTAAAGCCACGATTATGAAGTTTACAGCCCCTTAATCCAAATGGAAAATAATACAATCTCACACTACTTCTTAAATACATCTTCAAACGCCTGTAAATAACACCCAAAAACATGTTGTAAGATTCATAAAAATGCATGTAGTAAATAGACACGACAATCAAACATGGAAATACAGGACATTTGTCCAACACTTGTGGTCAGAGATGCACTAAACAAGTATATCAATAACTAAAATTTGAAGTAACTGTACATGAAACTCCCTTGTTTTGTTCCTTTTTGTCTACGTCATTGTCTCAAATAACTGATTTTACTATAAAGAAGATAATTCAATACATGTGAATTTGTAGCCTTAATGTAGTTTTCTTAGGTTGGAAGATTTGATATCCTACACACGGTCACATACCAAATCCGATACATGTACTGAGTCCACCTAAGATAGGGTCGTATAGAATTGTTAGACCCATAAACTTAATTGGATTGCTTAACCCTAGGTATCTTTGATAACTTTGTCGAGATGGAAATCCTGAACATTTTTTTTTTGGTTATCAACATACCTAGAATTCCATTTTATAGGATTCCCTGTGTATGAGAAGACGCGGGAAAAAAAAACACACAAAGGGCATACACAAACATCCAATATTATCCAAAAGAATTACTAAATAAACAAAGTGATTAAAGTTAAAGAGACGAATCAAAAGTATGGATTGTCACTGAATCAACATAAATGTGCAAAACATTGCTACCCTCCTCATCCTCAAGCATTAAGCATTTCATGTGATTCATCATCATCATCTTTTACATTAATCCCATATGAATGGGGTTGATCACATGAATTGTCTAGCTCCAAACTCTATTACAAGCCATTTTAATAAATTGCCTTTAACTTTTTAAAATCGTTTTCATCAACCTCAACCAATGTCATTTTTGCTCGCCCTCTTAGTATCTTACATTCTACTACCAGTAGTCCTCCTCATTTGACCAGCACATTTCTAGGTCTCCGATGTATGTATCTAAACCATCTAAAACCACTCTCTCATATTTTCTCACTAATGGGTGCTACACCTATTTTTTCTCACTTTCATTAGTGACCCTATCTCTTCTAGTCACTCCACTCATTCATCTTAACATTATCATTTCCAGTACAAGAAGATGCTACTCCTGTTTCATTTTTAGGGCCCAACACTCTACTCCTTTAGAATTTTCCTTTTAACCTATGTTTAAATTTACTGTCAAATAAAATCTCACTAGTTTGTCTCCATTTTGTCGAACCCACTCCAATTCTACTTAAGAAATAACATACTCTATACCAAACATTGATTTTCCTCTTTTCAGCCAAAAGAGAGAGAGAGAGTAAAATAGGCACAGAAAGAACACTTTTGGCTGGTAATTCACAATGAGACTACAAAGATGAAAGATCAAATATAAAAACCAACCTAAAGTTACTTGGAACGAAAATGTGATGACACCAAACAAATTAGTGAAAGTAGATTTAAGGCTGAAACTTGGAAAAAATATTTTATGATTCCTAGCAGAAATTCAACATACATAAATAAGTAATATACATAAGGTGACGTACTATAATGACTGTGTAGTAGACTAGTAGTGTGATATATCAGTGTCCTGGGCAACTGTTCTCAAATTCTTCAAGAAGAAAAGGCGGATGAATGCCAAACTTACTCTAGGTAGATGAAAGGATCACATAATCAGAATCAGATCGCGTTGAGGTCACATTCACTATAATAATGTAAAACCATTTCTCTGGATTACTTGAAATATTAGGAATAATTTTACCACTTCTACTAGGGATGGCCTTTTTATCCAACTGCTTCAGCCAATATTGTGCAACAACTGAAAAACGTACTCCTTTTTTATTTTATTTCAAGTCAATCATCTAAATCCCAAAGAACAGGGCATAAGACAGTTATGACATGGCAGTCCCTACCAGATAAAAATACAACGCAATAAAGGCATGGCCACACAACAATTGCTTGTATGGAGACAACAAGGACAATGGCATTCTGTATATATATAAATTGGATTTAGAGGATATTTTTTGAAAACAATAATATATTTGCAATTATACAAATTTAAAAAAGATAATTGTTCATATGTTCATATATTAGGGCAAAATGCAAACAACCTCCCCCCCACACCAAAAAAAAAAAAACCAGCATTGTATAAAGTTTGCAAATGGACCAAAGCTTTAAATGCCCAGTAGGAGCTACGTGGATTTACTAATATACCACAACAAAACGATGTTAATTTATTATTTTTGAAAACATTTGATCCATTCAATAAAACTGTACCAAGATGGCCAGTTTATAGTCTACTCTTTCTCTCTGTTAATTACTTCATTTATACATATACACACACATTCACTCCCAACTGATGGAGAAGCAGGATTTACTGGCCATATTATACCTTATTCCTTTTCCTCTTCCCATTCTATTCTCCAAGGCCACCAAAGGTCAATCCTTAAGTAAACTGACAAAGGTCACTCCTAAATTTGACCCACAAGAAGTCACTCACAAAGAAAAATCAGATTAATGAACTTTAAAATATTACTTTGCCTAAATACTTCTAAAGTTCCCCAAGCTCTGTGCTAATCCTTCATATTTTACAATCCAACCTTATGTAGGAAAAAAAGTGGTCAAATGTGCTTAGACATTGACCTAAATCCCCTCATTTTCAGCTAAAAAAAAGTCATTATCTTCATATACATGAGTAATTCTACTTGCTCAAATCTTCACTTTACATAAGGTAGTGAACTCATGAAAAAAATATTCTTCATTAGATAACACTTACGTAATTATCAAAAAATAATTAATAACACTTACTATTAGAACCAAAGCCAAATAACCACCAATCACCATCATTTCCCCCTTCTTAACACCCAAAATAGAATCCACTTCTTTTGCCCTCGTCATTGCAAGCAAAAAATGTAACCCGATCATTATGCTGCAACTTAAGTTGGTGTTTATAGAGGAGTTGATGTCAATCCAAAACATAAAGGTGCATAGGATAGGTATAATGGTGAAGATAGTAGGGTAATTGCAAAATTTTGAGTAATTCCAAGTTACTGGTAAAAAAGGTGGTTGTTTGCAAAATAACTAATAGTTCGGGGGCAGTTCTATTATTTTTCTCTATATACTAATATCTAGTGTTCTTAACAATACTTTTATGGAAAACATGCTAAGAGTTGTGGTACATGGACATGAGCTTTCAACTAATTATACATCATATTTCTTACAACATTCATCTTATTAGAGAGTTCTAAGCATTTATAACCCTTTTATTTCTTACAATAAAAGAAAATAACAGTTATGTTGCATTGACATAAGCATTGGACTACATTAGACATGCTATTCTCATTATATTGTAGTTTTTTTTTTTTTTTTTCTTTGTGAAGAAGTTTTTAAGTGATTGGAACCCTTGTAATGCTTTTTCTAAAATTCATACAATCATACCATTAGATAGATACACACACAAATAAAATTAATTTTACCTCATTAGTCATGATCACGTAGATTGGTTGGTGGTTTCCCTCGAACACATTAGCACGAAAAATTTCAAGCTGAAAACGGATTCTAATAAGGGGGAAAGGTGCGTCTCGCCAAGGCGAACATAAAACACTAAGGCACGTACTACGACTTTTTACTAAAGGAAAGTGGCCGGAAAAGAAGAGAGAAGGGTGGCAGCCTCTTGGCTGCCATGGCTGCCAGCCAAGAGAGGGGAAATAGATGAAAATATCTCTTTTTCATCTTAGGTCACCCTATTTATAGAAAAACCCTAAAAGTGTCCCGAACGGGTCCCGCCGGGTTCGAATAAGTAGAATTTGAGCAGACGTGCTCAAACGGCAAAATACAATGAATGAAAAAGAACCGAAATGAGAAAAGATGAATAACGAAAGAAACAGCGTCAAAAATCGAGTTCCGATCAGAGAGATATGCTCCAAACAAGATTAGCGGTAACTTGGGTCAGAAACCCAAAAATTGGGGTAAATGCCCAGAAGACAATTCTAAGAGTACGTGACTTGATGAAAAGTGAAAATGAATCCCGTATGAGGATTCAGGCTCAAAACGAGGCATTTTGTAATAAGTTTCGTTAATTACACAATGGCCCCTATAAAAAGTGATAACTGCGAAACTGGCCCAGAATGAAAATATCTTCCAAAAAGATATTTTTTAAAAAACTCTTGAAATAAATATCTTCAAAAGATATTTATGAAAAATACCTTAAGAAAAGAAAATATTTCTGAAGAAACTATGCATCCATGCCCCTATGGGCACGGGAAGCAACTAGAATACTTTTCTGCAAAAGTAAAGATACATTTTTTCATGAAAACCACTTAGAATGAAGGTACGTGAAGTCAAAAACCAACTCTGAATACGAAAAGTGAGGTTGTGCCAAAAAGTGACAAACGGGAAAAAAGACGAAAAGTGAATAGTGTCGAAACAATGAAAATGTGAAAATGACACGGTCCTATAAGGAAGTTGTTAATTTAGAGGAAAGAGTCTCAGAAACTATTTTCGAGTACTCGAAAAGACACTAAGTGACGAGAAACAGAACTCAGAAAAGAAAAGACAACAGAAAAAAAAAATATCCGTAAAAATCTGAAAAATAGGAAAGGAAGGAAAATGACTTGGTCATTACAGATACCTTGAAGAAGGAGAATAAGTAAAAACAGAAATTTCTTGAAGAGAACAAAGTTGAAATTTAGAATCTTCAAGATGAAGTAAAAAATCTCAAGAACGAGGTAAGTCAAGTTAATTCTGCTAGAGAATCTTTTATTGCTAAGTTTAATTTTCTTGAGCTTGAATTGAAAAAGTCAAAAGAAAAATTGATTGCTTTTACCTCTGGACAGATTAAGCTTGATAAGATGATTAGTATTGGTAAGCATGTAAGTGATAAAACTGAATTAGGTTTTAAAGAGGCTTCATCTAGTAGGAATGGTCAAACTGTTTTTGTTAAACTCATGAATTTGAATGTGCCTATTGTTAAGCCTAAGCTTTTGTTGATCCTATGCATGCTAAGAATGTGTCCAAGGTGTTGATCCCATTGTTATAAAAAGAAAGGAGATAATTCTTGTT